TAGCTGCTGTCATTAAAATCAGTCAGGAAAAAAAAAAAACAGCTTAAACTGACATCACAGTATAGTAATCCTACTATACACAGAAAAAAATCTTTTAAACTCTCTCTCTAGAGATAAGTCTTCACTTATAACTCAGATGATAAATTATCCCATTACTTATGTTCAAAGCAGCCCTACTTAATATAGTATCATTCCCTAAAGTAGCACTGCCTACAGTATATGCAACTTAATTATTCTGACATCTTTAAACTATAATTACTCATCGCTTTGTATACTTTTCTATGTGAGAATTTTTCAAAGCAAAAGTAACTACAGATTATTTTTTGATACCATGTACTTTCAAGAATAAGCAGCAAATTCAAAATGTACTGGGAGTAAATAATGTAGTAAGTTCATTTTATTATTAAGATATAATTGTACAGAAAAGTTAATGAGTTTTACCTTGTACTTAAATAAGTCACAGAATTTAAAATCTACACATAATTCATCTATTATTCTTACAAAACTCATAAATCATGTATTCTTCCCACTCCCATCTTATACATTCATAAGAGCACCTGACAAGTAATGCCATCAGTACAACAAAAATCAAACCAAAAATACCCTGTTGATAAATTTACATAGAAATAGAATTCTGGTTATAGAATAAGCCAGAGGAAACTCTATGGAAATAGTGTAAAATTTGCCAAAACTATAACTGACATTCTGTAATCAAAGTATTCCAAATGAAAGCAAAAACCTACCAGCTAATGAACTTATCAGTTAACCTGTACCAATGTTACCCTTCACAGAAAATAAAAATAAATCTGCTGTGCTTTCCTGGTCATCCCTGGAAAGCAAGGCTGCCACCATGTCTCGGGGCTGCAGAGATGATCCTGCACAAAAGGGCAGTATACAAAGAGCAAAATATATTCTGCGGTCCAGAAACTGCATTCAGGGGAAAGGCAGAGTAGGAAACAGGTGTACCAATCAGGGGGCCTAGAGGTTTGGTTTTAATGGTCCGTACCAAAGGTGAGCCCCTATGGGTATTAAATCAGAGAACTTCTATACAAACTCAGGATCCCTGAAGGTTTGTTTATACCCTCAATGAAAAAGTGAGTTATTTTTTAATCTGCTCTGCAGAAGCAGGCAGGAAATGTATATTTCCACCTTGGCTCTATCTGAACGGGAAAATAATGTTTCTTCTGGGAACTTTGGGTCATAGAATTTGGGGCATGAATTCACTGCATATACAACATCCAAAAAAAAACCCACATGCCAAAATTTTAAATTAATTTGGACCAGGGTGGCTGGGTCCCCAGTAGCATGCACATGTTCTCTCTTTAGAGCAAGACTAGGCAAACTAAGATGCAAGGGCAAAATCCAGCTGCCCATGTGTCTAGGAATTGTCTGTGGCTGCTTTCGTGCCACAACAGCAGAGCTAATTAGTTGTGACAAGGACCACATGGATCACAAAGTCTAAATATTTACTCTCTGGCCCTTTATAGAAAAGATTGCTAACCCATTGTAAAAAACACGTAATAACACGAATGTGTTCGAAACAAAATGAGATGAATTCGGGCAGTGGAAAACAGGATCCTGTAAATTGGGGCTTGATCAAAGAGTAAAAGTACTGGTTAACTTTAGAGACCGTTAAGTATTCATGTTAAAACTTCAGAAGTCAAAACCTATGGTTCAAGTACAAGAATGGTGAGAGTTTAATTCCGAATCTTCCCATCCACCCTAGGGAAGACATGGAAAACAACAAGGAAAACATGGGGGGTGGTGAAAGAAAAGAAATAAATTGCTGGAGAAACTAGGAATTGAAACACCCGCAAGTGCCAAATCAGCTGTGAATGTGCAAAAAGCAAGTAAAATGAAGGGCCAAAGGGAAGAAGCCCCAAGAACGCAGAAAGGAACACGAGAAACAGGAGTCAGGAGGAATCAGAATTGCCACACTTGCTCCCACAAAGAACGGGCCTCTCTCCTCTGAGCGTGAGAAGACATGAAATTATTTAAAAAGATAACAGAGTGACTATTAAAAATCTAAAACATGAACAGAAAATGTAGAAAAACCAGACAGGATCACAAAGCAAAGTCCAACTTCCTGTTGTATGCAAGAGATACATTTAAAACAAAGTGATTCTGAAAGGTTAACAATAAAGAGAAGGGTAAAAGTATATCAAGAAAAGACTGATAGCCACCCCAGAAAAGGCAAAAAAAAAAAAAAAGAGCTATAATATTAATATCAGACAAGACAGAAATCAGGTCAAAAAACATTAAACAAGCAAAGCACTTTATAATATTAAAAGATACCATTTGCAATAAAGATGAAACAGTTACGAATATCTATAATAGCAATTTCCATAAAGCATAAGTTTCAGAATATACAAAGAGAAATATGCAAAAATACACTAACATTTTTAGACTTTAACTTTCAGATATGATAAATCCAATACAAAAACAAATAAGTAAGGAAGAGAACTGAGCAGTATAATGAATAAAGTAGATTTGATATATATTCATATCTCAGACACCATAACTTAAAATTATAGGATTTTTCTCCTTTTCAAATGTCTTAGAGTATTTATGAAAATTAGACCACAAAGAAAATCTCCAGTAATTATAAAATAGGGAAATTCCTTGGAACTGGGGAATATTATGCTAAGTGAAATAAGCCCATCTGTGAAAGACAAATACCGTATGATCTCACCTATAAGAGGAATCTAATGAACAATAAACTACTGAACAAAATAGAGCCAGAGGCATGGAAACATGGAACAGACTGACAGTGAACAGAGGGGAGAGGAGAGGGGGATAATGGTGGAAAGGAGGGGAAGGGACTAAACAAAGACATATGAATGACCCACGGGCATGGACCACAGTGTGGGGGGGGGGGGGGGGGGGCGGGTAGGGGGTGGGATGGGTGAAGGAGGCCACAGGGGGGAAAAATTGGGACAACTGTAATAGAATAACAATAAAAGTTTTGTTTAATTATAAAATAGGGAAGCAATATCTACAACATTCCCTGAACACTATTATAAATATGTCATATTTATTTATATATCATAAATAAAATTAATAACAAAATTTTTTTTAAAAACCTCTCTACAGAGAACACCTGTAACTTAACTCTTGCTGAAACAACTCATAGGCTCATCCGAAAAATCAGAATGACAGCCACACCGGCTTCCATGCCATCCTGAGCTTGTTAGGACAATAAGGCAAATAAGCGAGATTATTCAATGCAACATTGCTTATTAACCATTACTCTAAAATGCCCCTTCCTATCAGCGGGAATCCTCTTTAGATTGCCTCTGTTTTCTGTGTACAATAATAAGTAAGGTCATCAGCTGAGAGTTATGATGAAGAAGGAAATGTCGCAAGTTTGAAGAGAGAGGAAAATGCATGAAGCAGCCATTATGAAGAGGTAGAAGAGAGAGTGGTGACTGCGAATTGAAAGCCTGGTAGGTTTAGAAGTATGAACAAGAGAGGGTGAGAAACTGAAAGGAGGCTCAGTGAACTCAGTGCTGTGGTCAGGCTGAAGGACTGCCAGAGTCTGGGCACGAGGAGGAGTGAGCTGGACTAATCGGGGGCACGCGAGGTAAGAGATACGTGAAATGGAAATCGCGGGCTTCACCGCAGGTGTGACAACGGGCAAGAGCTACTCAGGTAGGATGAAAAACAACATCTTTGGAAGACACATAAAAAAATCGAGGAGTCAGGTATTAGAAGAATTATTTAAGTGCATACTGAAATCATAAAAATATTCGGTTAATATATAAGGGATGTAGTGACAGTGAGCCAGAAGCTATTTTCTTCAAGGAATAAAACACGGTGATCTGAAGAGCAACAGAAGGCAAAGAGGATAAAAAAAACAGGTGCTAATAACATACGATGCAAAGCTGAGCGATTCAAATGAGGAAGGTACGGAAACAGAGTGCAAATGGCAATAAGAAGTAATGAGGTTGCACGCCCCACTTCCAGCCCTGCTGCATTGGGAACGTGGAAGAGAGCACAGATCCCTTGAAAGGACCACAGGGAAACAGAGGGGTATCGAGAAGGGGAGTCTTCCTTTGGGCCCACAAGCGCCCTCCTGCTGTTGCTAACGGGGATCTGCAACTGACTTTTCTCATCAAGGCTGCACAAGGACTCTCAATAGTTCTATACAGGGTGGGGCAAAAGTAGGTTTACATTAGTGAGTAAGTGAAACAGAGTTTATTCTTGTGTTATCATTTATTAATTCCTGAATTTTTCATACAAACTTACTTTTGCCCCACCCTTATATAGTTGTCTATAAGGAAAAAAGGCTAAAATTTGAGCTCCTAATACTGGGAAGAGCCAGATACGTAGTTTGTTCTTAAATCTTAGTAGTGACTATAGGGTGTATATATGTGTAGACAAGTCTTTTTAAAAATTACAACTGTTTGAAAATTTCGTATTTTTTTAAATAAAGTACCAGAAAAACAATGAAGAGGATTTCAGAGTATAGTACAGAAAGTCATTATGCAGATTGTCCCAGCCACCTCCACACACTAGATGACAATCTCTCATAGAAGCTGACAGGCCTCCTTTAAAAGAGTAATACAGTATATGGAGATATTGCAGTAAGATTAGGAATAGAACCCTGAAAAATGAAAAATCCTGAAATCCTGGAATACACAGTGAAGAGATTGGGTTCGTTTTAGCTCTTGGTCCATGAGTAAAATCCAAAGAAATAGCACCATCTACTGGAATTTCACCATTTTTAAAAATATTCTCAATTCTTGGAAAAATGTGACTTAGACACTTAACATGTAACATTTCCTGCATTCGGCTAAGAAGATACGCTTCAATATTGAAGGACAAAATCGAACACAAAACTAAAAAACATATTTAAGAGTATTAATTCTTGGCTTATAATTCTTATTTCAAGCAACTAACCATCTTTACTAAATGCATTGGGAAGATTTCATTAGATACAAAAACACTCTCAACCAATAAAGAAAAGAGTATACAGTTACATTTTCAAAGTAACTCACAGATGTGGTATTCCTGGATGCTGCTTGTATAACCATATATAGCGGAATATCCAAATATTATGATCATGACAACATCTCGACTGTCCAGCTCCATTATGTGTGCGGAGTGTCCCTCCACAGCATACTGCTGCCCATGGCCAAGCACAGTAGGAGTTTTTGTGCTCCAGGACTGGCTCTGTATGTTAAAGATCCACAGTTCATTGGTGACATTGCCGTCGTGAGTTTCAATTCTGCCTCCATACATGAAGATGTTTTCCTGCAAGGTAAAAAGCACGTGTTAATAAACAGAATAGCAATATATATCAATTTAACACAAAGGCTGAATTTAATCATCAAATTTCAGTAATCACAACATGCATAAGACATCATTCCTATTAGTAAAAAGTCAAATGGGGACACGTGAGTAATGAAAAATGGTGCTTTTACTTACAAGAAAGGGAAAGAAATCCATGCCTTCGAAAAGTTACTTTAAGATACTTTATTTAAAATAATCGTATTATATAGTCAACTAACCATATTTTATTATCCTATTTGCTGAGTCCCTTGTTACACTTGAACATGACCATCTATGTGTACTGCTTTGTGCTATTCTTGATCTCTCAGTGCTTTCATCAAGCACAGCTCACAAAAAGGGAGGCCACGTTTATGTAGTACATGGAATACATTTTTATTACCATTCCCCTTGGCTCTGGGCAGATACTTATAAATTATACAAATAGCTTTAATCACATATGACTAAAATGAATGATACATAAATGATACAAATCATTATTATTTCAACAACCTAGGAGAAGAAAGGAATTTCTTCAAACTAATACAGATTATCTAAGAAAAACGCAGAGCTAATATTATACATAATGATGAGTGGATGCTTTCCAACTACGGTCAGGAACAAGACAAAGATGTCCACTTTTGCCACTTACAGTCCACATTGTACTCAAGGATTCAGTGAGAGCAAACTGGCAAAAATTGAATAAAGACATCCAGATTGAAAAAGAAGTAAAATATTGCTATTCATAGAAGAAATGAGCATATATATAGACAATACTAAGAAATAAAAAAATAAAAATTAGAGCTAAGAAATGAGTTCAACCACACTGCAGAGTACAAGATCAATGTACAAAAATCAATTATGTTTCTATACACTTGCAATGAACAATCCAAAAATAACACTAAGTAAAAACAATTCCATTTACAAAAGCATCAAAAAATTAGATACTTAGGGATAAATTTAACAAAAGAAATTCTAATCTTACTCTGAAGGCAACAAGACATTGTTGAAAGAAATTTTAAAAGGTCTAAATAAATGGAAAGACATTCCATGTTCATGGGTCAGAAGACTTACTGTTAAAAAGACAATGCAACACTCTCCAAATTAAACAACAGATTCAATGCAATTTTTATCAGAATCACCAATGACTTCTTTTTAGTAATTGACAAGTTGATTCCTAAATTCACATGGAATTGCAAGGGACCCAGAATACCCAATCTTGAAAAAATAAATAAAACTGGGCTCACGCTTCTCAGCTTCAAAAGTTACTACAAAGCAAAAGGGATTAAAACAGCGTGCTACCGGAATAAAGACAGACATATAAATCAATAGGACAGAGAGTCCAGAAATAAATCCACACATCTATGGCCGACTGATATTTGACAAGAGTGTCAAGACCATTCAATGGAGAAAGAATAATCTCTTCAACAGATGATACTAAGAAACCTGAATAGTGACATACAAAAGAATGCATTTGAGCCTTTACTGCATACCATATACAAAATTTAACTCAAAATGAATCAAAGACCTAAATCTAAGAGCCAAACTATAAAACTCTTAAAAGAAAACATGGGATAAATCTTCATGACCTTGGTTTTGGCAATGTGTGTTTAGATATGACACCATAATCACAAACAACAAAAGAAAAAGAAAGATAAATTGGATTTTACCAAAATAAAAAAATTTGAAACTTATTTTTTAAAAGACACCATTGGGAAAAATGAAAACTCACAAAATGGGAGAAAACACTTGCAAATCATAGGAGACTTGTATCTAGAATACATAAATAACACTTTACATCTCAATAATAAGAAGACAAATAACCCAACTTAAAAATGGGGAAAGGACTTGAATAGACATTTCTCCTAAGAAAATACAGATAGTCAAGAAGCACATGAAATGATGTTCAACATCATTAATCAACAGGAATGTGATCAAAGCCCAATGAAATATCACTTCACACCCACTGGGATGGCTATAATCAAAAGGACAAATACAAATGAGAGCTGGCGAGGATCTGTTCCAATTGAAGAAATTGGAACCTTCATACATGGCTGGGGGAGGATGTAAAATGGGACGGCCAGTATAGAAAACAGTGGCAGTTCCTTCAAAATTTAAATATAGCATTACCATTTGACCCTGCAGTTCCAACCCTATATATACACTCAGGAGAAATGAAAGTACACATCCTCACAAAAACTTATACATAAATGTTTATAGCACCATTATTCGTAAGAACCAATAAGTGAATATGACCCAAATCTCCATTAACTATGGAAAGATAAACAAAATGTAGTATACATATATATCCATACAATAGATTGTTATTTAGCCATAAAAATGAAGTACTGACACATGCTACAACATGCCAGTCATCAGCCACATAGTACAGAATTTCATTTACATGAAATATCCAGAGTAGACAAGTCTATACAAATAGGAAGTAGAATTGTGATTGCTTAAGACCGGGAGGACAAGGAGGTTAGAGGTGATAGTTAAAGGATATAGGATTGCTTTGCGAGGTGATTAAAATGGTCTAAACTTGATTGGACAACTCTACAACTTTGCACAAATCTGCAAAAGATGGTTGCACAACTCTGAATACACTGGACGCCATTCAATTATACACATTTAGAATGAGTGAATTATATGGTATGTCAATTATATCTCAATAAGCTGTTACAAAAAATGAAATAAATGAAAAAAACTAAAAAACAATGCTATATACAGGATCATGTACCACAGATATATACACTTGAAACCTATATGACCTCAATGAGTAGTGTCATCCCAATAAATTTATGGTAAAAAAAAAACCTAGAAAACAGCCCTGACTGGTGTAGCTCAGTTGGTTGGCCATCATCCCACAAAGGGAAAGGTTGCCAGTTCAATTCCTGGTCACGGCATAGGCCCAGGTTGCGGGCCAGGTCCCCAGCGGGTTTAGGCATGTGTAAGAGGCAACCGATGGATGTTTCTCCCTCACATTGATGTTTTTCTCCCTCCTTTTCTTCTCCCCTTCCCCCTTTGCTAGGAAAAATAAAATCTTTAAAAAAAACTAAAACATGTACATACATATTTACATGGAGATTTTAATTTCATTTTTAAAACATGCATATGCATAAGAAGCAGTAGTTTATTCTTTACATTGCCCCTATATTTTACAAATTTTCTGAAATAAGCACAGAAAACATATAAATTCTGATTTGAAGGGTCTAGTCACAGATCACAAAATACATGAATCTTTGCTGATTCAAAATAAAAACCAGTGAAGTAGCCTGTCATTTAAATCCTGAATCCTACAAGTACATAAAAGTAACTGATTACAATGAAGCCCTTATTAAAATCCAAATAATATATTTGTGGAAATAGAAAAACCATCCTAATATTCACATGGAGTCTTAAGGGACCCTGAATAGACAAAATGAACTTGAAAAACAAGACCAACGTTGGAGGTCTCACACTACCTCACTTCAGAACTTACTACAAGACTAGAATACTCAAAACAGTGTGATACTATTTTAAACACAGGCACCAAAGGACTAGAGAGCTCAGGAACACACCTCACACATACGGTCAAATGATCTGCAACAAGGCTGCCACGACCGCTCAATGGGAAAAAGACAGTCTGTTTAACAAAGATGCTGGGGAAATGGAATATTTTCATGTAAAAGAATGAAATGGGACCTTTGCCATATATCATTAACAAAATTTACTCAATAACATGAAACTTTTTCTTTACCTTTTCTTTTAAGAGTTTTAAAGTACTCTTATTTTTATGTCTGTAATCAATTTTGATTTACTCCATTTTTGATTTATGGCAAAGGTCCAATTTCATGACACTGGATTTGGCAATGATTTCTTGGATATGCCACCAAAACACAGGTAACAAAAAAAAAAAAGATAAATTGGATGCTGTCAAAATTAAAAACTTGTACATTATCAATAGAGTGAAAAAATAGCCCACAAAATGGGAGAAAATACTTGAAAATCCTATTTCCAACTAGCAGTTAATACCCAGAATACATTTTTTAAACTCTTAAAATTCAACAACAAACACAAAAGCAACCCAAATTTTAAAATGGACCAAGGACTAGCATACGTATTTCTCTGAAGAAGGCACACAAATAGCCAACAAGCACTTGAAAAGATTTCATCATCACTGATCACCAAGGAAACACAAATCAAAACCATAGTAAGATGCCACAGGGTGTAGAAAAAGTGAAACCCTTGTGCATTGCTGGTGGGAATGTAAAATGGTGCAGTCACTGCAGAAAACAATATGGAAATTCCTCAAAAAAATAAAAATAGAACTATCAAATAATCCAGCAATTCCACTTTGGGCTATGTACCCAAAAAATTGAAAGTAAGTAGAGAAGCGGATATGTGTACACCCACGTGCATAGCAGCATTATTCACAATAGCCAAAAAGGTAAAAGCAACCCAAGGGTTTATCAATGGATAAATGGGTGAACAAAATGCATTATAAACATACAATGGACTATTACTCAGAATTAAAAAGAAAGGAAATTCTGACACATGCTACAACATGCATAAACATTAAGGACATCATACTAAGTGAAATAAGCTGGTCATTAAAGGACAAACACTGTAAGAGTTCATTTATATGAGGCATCCAGAGTAGTCAAATTCACAGAGGCTGGAGTTGAATGATGGTTACCGGGGTCTGCGGAAGGGGGAAAATGGGGAAGTGTTTAATGGGATAAAATTTCAGCTTTAGGACCAGAAAAGGCCCCAATAATGGTAGTCATGGTTGGACAATAATTTGAATATACTTAATGCCACTGAACTCTAAATTAAAATGGTTCAAGTGGTAAATTTTATATTATTATGTTACTGTGTATATTTTACCACAATTTGCAAAGTGACTACTAAAACCTATTATTTTTACTAAAATAGTATGTGAGTCTGTGATATCTCAAGTCATTGTGATCCATATGACCCACTGTTCTCCTTAGGTGTTTGAAATAAATCTGAGTTGTAGTATTTTTTAGGTCTAAGGTGAACTCAAAAAACGCTTTAAATTTATAAGCAGGATCCATACCTGATACAAAGCAAGAGAGTGTCCGTATCTCTGGAGAGGTCCCCTTGACGGAGTTCCCACATTCCATATGTTGTTCTCTAAATTGTAACTGAAAACGAGAGAAACAAATAACTTCACAAGCTACAATTCATTTTTGGCTTTTCAATGTGCAAACTCATAATTTCATGTACCATGTTAGATATGTTTCATAAACACATCCAAGATATACCTACTCTAAACCAGGGTTCAATCACCTAAATGTGCAATATACATTAACTGGACTAGGCTATTTATTCCTGGAATAAATTTGCTCAGTTGCTTTAATAATTTCGACAAACTGCTTAACGTAAACAACAGTGAGCTGGTCAGCATTTTTTAATTTTACAATAAAGACAGAGAGCAGACAGGTGTCACGGGAGATGGGGGGTGGGGGGTGCTGGGTGAAATAGGTGAAGGGATTAAGGAAAACAAAAAAGTCAAGGACACAGACAACAGTATGGCGATGACCAGAGGGAAGGTGGGGTGGGGGTAGGTGGAAGAGTGTGAACAGGGGGTAAATGGTGATGGGAGGAGACTAGATTTTGGATGGTGAGCACACAGCGCAATGTGCGCGTGACGTCTTGCAGGACTGTACATGTGACACCCATATGATTTTATTGACCAATAAAACCCCAGTAAGTTCAAATAAAAAATAATAGAAATAATAAATAAATTGCACAGAAACAAAAAAAAAAGTCAGCTTTTTATTTTGGAAATAGAAATTCTCTCCATTTTTACAAAAGCAATTTGCTTTATGTATCTATTTTTATTCTTTTACATGCACTTAGCTCAGCATTATATAAATTAACCAAGAAGTACCGATTTCATATGCACGAATATATCTTGTTTATTAATCATCTGAGATTGTGTGAAATCAATCTACTAAGACAGGAGCTTCTGTAAAAATAAGGTACTACTGGTTACAGGATAAAAAATGAAAATTATTATTTGTTCTACTGGTCCAAAAATATATGCGTGAAAACAGAAGTTCCACACTGTGGACCGCAAATGCTCATCTAACAGAATTCCAGTTCAGCTGTCACCATCAAATGCTACCCTCAAATCTCTTCAATTTGCCAAAATATGCAAAAGGAAGCATCGAGCCAAGAATTCAGTAGGGCCTTGCTTAAGAAGCTCCCTATCAATTTTCATCTCCACTCTTCTATTTCTTCTTCCAACTCATCAGGAAAGGCAAGCAAGCTCCCTTCACACAAAAAAAGGGAAGGTTACCAAAAACCATTTTCAGCATTACGTTTAACTTGTTTCCTCCACTGGAGTGAGAAGGTACATGTGTATGATACAAATAAGGAACTATGATCAATTAGAACACACCTTCCACAGACTCACACTACTACACCTTCCTACCTACCAGCGTCTGCACCCAACACACTGCTTTTCGTCAAGTTACCATAAATTAGGACTTGGCAAATTATTTCTGTAAAGAGCCAGATAGTAAATACCTTAGGCTTTGTGGACCACACTGATCTTTCACATTCTTCTTTGCTCTTACAGCCCATTAAAAATGCAAAAACCATTTTACTTTATTTTTCACAGTCTTTTCATTTTAATTAATCATAGTTCATTTCCTTTTACTTTCCACATTTAAAACTCATTTCTTCAGGTTCTTTCCATATCTTAGCAATTCATTTTAATCCCACCAAGTCCTTTCAATTATTTCTACTATATTTTGCTGTCATATTGGGTTACAGAATTCTAACTGTTCACTTAAGTATTTGCCAAAAACTCTTCCTCCCTCTCTACAGAATTTATTTTATTTTGTACTTTAAATCTAGTCATAGTCCGTCATAGTTTTAAAGCAATCTCCTCTTATAAGCAGTAGAATTTCTGAATACCCAAAATTAATAGGGCTAATATTTTTGGTATGTAGGATTGCCAGATAAAATTCAAAATGCCAAAAAAACTCTGAATTTTAGATGAACATCAAGTAATTTTTAGTATAGGTAGAACCCATGCAATATTATAGACAAAATTTAAAAAGAGCATTGAAGGGCCGACTTATACTAAAAAATTATTTGTCATTAATCTGAAATTTGAGTTTTACTGGGTGTCCTGTACGTTTGTCTGCTACACCTGGCAACCTATTGGGCACACACCATTCTGATATTCTGTCCAGGGTGAGCTCTGATTGGGTGATGCCCAAGTTGCACCACTTATTACATATTAGGCATATCACTCCTGAAAACAATATTGCTAATCAAATTATTCTTCCTATTTCCTCTTTTGTTCTCTTATTATTAGACATTCATAAAATCCAATCACCAGCTAAAAGAAATCAGATAAAGCTGTCATCCGTGGAATTCCCTTTATCACCCAATCCTGAGAGGACAGTCTTGACCAGGACAATAGTACATGAATAATCTATTGTGTGATGCTGGCACTGTTCTCCCAGCAAAAGCTTGTAAAATAAGTCCAAAGTGGAAAAAGCTCAGGTAAATTAATGTACAGGACAAACTGAAAGTATTTTTGTATAAGCAATTACACTTCCTTCTGAAAAAAAAATGTGGCAGGATTCATAATGTCTAATATGGGTCTGGCCTCACCTTACTTTAAGTTAATATCTTCTTACTCAGAATTTATTAAAAGCACTCTAGAGAGGTTTTGCAAAACAAACCTATATGCACAATGACAAATATTTAACTATTGAATTCACAGATGATCAAATCAGTTCCATTCTCAAATCAGCAAATAGAACCCATCACAAAAACTAACATTCATAAATTTGGACGGTAATAAAATAGACAGTTAGGATAATCTTATTACCTGAAAAATCAGCTTAAATTATAGATGGTGAAAATCTGGGAAAAAAATACTTACTTCAGGACCATTTGAAAAGAACTGTAGTTAAAACTATATCCACCAATCACCCACATAAACTTCCCATGTAAAACTGCTTTATGGGAAGCTCGACCGACAGAAGGACTGAAGGGCTTAACAGTTGGCAGAATCCAGTAAGACTCAGTGGAAGGAACATTCAAAGAACAATCAGGACCTATTAAAAAAAAAAATCAAACAACACATTAAACAAAGAACTTGGATTATAAAAACAGAGAATATATGGATTAAGAAAATGAGTAGTTCAACGCTCATCATATTAATAAATGTACATAATAAACGGTCTAAACTATAACTTACTGGGAAAATTCTAAAACAAAATGTAATACTTATGAGGGGACAAATTATCTACTCAGTCAGACTCAAATACATTCAAATAAATAGCACAATCTGAAAGAATCATTTAAGTAATTAACATCTCTTATTTATTTTAGGCTACTAGAATATCGGAATGGAAAACAATGCACTCAAATCCCAGTTCTGTCAGTTACTACACGTGTGACCTTGAGTACCTCTCCCAGCATCAAGCCTTTGTCTATAAAACAGAAATAAAAATCTACCCTCTAGCAGGGGAGTCCAACATGCGGCCCACGGGTCACGCATGGCCCGGGACAGCTATGAATGCGGCCCAACACAAAATCGTGAATTTACTTAAAACCTTTTTGTTTGCTCAGCAGTTTGCATTAGTGTTTGTGTATTTAATGTGTGGCCCAAGACAACTCTTCTTCCAGTGTGGCACAGAGACACCAAAAGCTTGGACATCCCTGTTAAGGGTTATTATAAATATTTAATTGTTAAAATGGGGATTAAAGCATTTGTAAAGTGTATACTACTAAACTTATATAAAAATAAAATTACTTTTTTTCCCTTAGCGTTATTAAGAATAACTAAAGCTGGTATCAGTAGGGAAGACTATTATCCTCAAACAGAAAAAAAATATTATGTATACTATATTTATATTAATTAGCACAGGGTAAATCAAATACTGCAAGTATTCTAATCCATATTCATGATGTTACTCATGAGTCTTGGTTCCCTCATCTGAATGTGTAGGAGAGATCAGCGTAGAACACTGTCTCTCAAACTTAAGTAATGGAATAAATGCTCCTAAGAGAAAATATATTTTTACCAAATGAAAGGCTCATAAACAATTTTTAATTCTAATAAAACTAAAATATGCTCAAATAAAAGCTAGGGATAAACTCCTTATATTTAAAATACTTTTATAAATATAAAATCAACATAAATTTAAAATTATATGTATATATAAGCAAACTTATAAAACCAATAAACAATGTTTTTCTTTTATTAGGATAGATGATGTTGTTTTGCTCAAACTAAATCATTGGTCCTAGGTTGAAAATGATAGTAATTCTTATAGTACCTCTTCCCACATAACTTTAGGATATCTATATTATTTTGACATATCTACATATTATGTAGATATTTAGGATATCTACATAATTTTCCCATGTTTCCTTCCTCTACTCTTTAAAAACCTTTTCAATTCATATATTATGCCGTATCATTATTTGACCTTGACTTGTCCCAAAGGCATCAACACACTTCAATAATTTTCTTTTTAGCCTGCAGTAAGAAATACTGCTTGGTCCCAGTCTGCCAGTCAATACAAAGGCTGGCATTACGATCAGGTGGCATTTTTACTCAATTATGAGATCAATCACTTGATCTTAAATTTGCTTATATCAAAATTTTAGATTATCATTGAATCACAAAACTTAAAAACTTCCAAACTGGCCCTAATTTGAGAAACTTTAGCCTGTACACAGTTTTCATCTGTTTATCTGCCCATTCATTCATTCATTCATTCATCTTCAAAGTCCTTTCCAAAGCTTTGTTATGAGTCTGCATTTTTCAGGTGCAACTAGGAGCACCCTAGATTATCTCTCTGATAATGACACAACCTTTTAAGTTGGATATTAAAAATTTGCTATTTTTGAGTGAAAAGATTCTGAAGCATTTTTCGGTAATCCAAGAAATTAAAGGAACACACTGATTTAAAAAAAAAATTTTTTAATTACAATTCTGAATCACTTAGACCTCATTTAACCTGGGTTGACAAACAATGCCCCTGAGCAAGATCCAGCCCTCTCCCTGTTTTTGCAGATACAGTTTAATTAGAACACAGTATGTTCATTCATTTAAGAACTGCCTGTGGCTGCTTTCATACGGCACCAGCAGAGCTGAGTAGCAGCAACAGAGACCATAGGGTCAACACAGCCAAAAATATTTACTATGTGGCCCTTCACACAAAAGTTTGCCAGCCTCTAATTGAACTGAAGAGAATCAGAGCAGACGGACATTATGTGTAACTAATACATCTCTTGGTAGAAGTTTTGTATTTTGTGTTCTTGAAAAGGAAATGTGGATTTATTTTAAATCATCCAAGTCAGGAATAATAAGCAAATAGGACAAAATCTTATGAACAATAAGTGAGCTTGGTCAAGAACATTCGAACATGCTTTGCTCTTCTTATTTTACAACTTTTCTCTAAATTTCAAACTCTTTCTAAATAGAAAGGGAAAAGAGCTGCCATGCAAAGACACAAAGTTGGACACAGTCAAATAATGCCAGGGTGCCCCATGACAGACTGTGCCAGGGATTAACGGCACGTAAAATTCTTAAGAGGATCGGGATATATGAAATCTTCCCTAAAGAAAAATATTTCAGAGCAAGTTTGAGGAAGGCTCAGTAACAGACCCCCAAAGATATCTAGACTGTACCCTATGGAACCTGTGAATATTTTACCTTATCTGGCAAAAGGGGTTTTGAGGTGGAATTAAATGAAGGCTCTTGAACGGGGGAGTTGTTCCTGGATTACCTTCTAAATGGGCTCTACATGTAATCACAGGGGTCCTATGAAGAGGGGGAGATTTGACTCCAGGAGAAGCAGCAATGTAGCCAAGGAAGCAAGACGCTGTGCTGCTAGATGCGAAGACAGGGGAAGGGAAACGGGGGCCAGGAATGTGGGCGTGGCAGCTCCAGAAGCTGGGAAAGGCGGGGGCACGGGTCCTTCCTAGAGCCGCAGAGGGGTGTGGCTCTTACAGCGCCTGGGTTAGGGCCAGTGAAACTAATTCAGGCTGGTAACCTTGGAAAGGTAAGCTTGTGGGGATTCGTTGTAGGAGTTCCAGGACACTAATACTAAAAGCTCATTTAATTAATTAATTTCAACTAAACAGTATTTAATACGGAAAACAGGATTCCAGAGGGGTGTTTTTTTTATTTTACTCTGTAATCTAAAATATCTCATTTTTATACACAAAAGACAATAGCAGTCAACTCTTCCTATCTTTGTTACTACCGCATTTTATGTAACTTCCAGAAATTATCAGAAGGAATAATCTATAGCCAACTGTATGGATTGTTTTTATTTTACTCTGAGTTGATACATCCATGAACAGAATGAAAGGTTTATGACTAGGACTTAAATTTTTACAGAAAATTGAATCTCATAGTTTGTAGCTTTCTGCATTGTATAACTAAAATGATTTAAAATGTAAATTTATAAACTGAATATTAATTTTTTTAAACAGAAAGTAGGTTTTTCTAAGGCTTTATTTATTTATTTTTAGACAGAGAGGGAGGGAGGGAGACAGAGAAACATCAATGTGTGGTTGTCTCTCGCACATCCCCAACTGGGGACCTGGCCTGCAGCCGAGGCATGTGCCCTCACTGGGAATTGAACTGGCGACCCTTTGGTTTGCAGGCCAGTGCTCAGTCCACTGAGCCACTCCAGCCAGGGACTGAATATTAATTTAAAACACAAATAACTATAAAGAACACTTTATATACACAAAGCCTTTGCCATCCACTAAAACTCTAACATTGATATCTACATTTAAGGCCATCTGAGACTCCCTTTTTATAAAAACACATCCATGAGAAACCCCCTCCCATTGCCTAATCTAGCCCCTGAGAGGATATCGCTGCATAACTCTCCCTGCACAACTTCTGTCAGTCACTATGAGACTCTCCTCAGGATGAGTAGGTCTCAGCTGTCTTGGAAAGGATGTAATAAAATAATTCACATTACAGTAGGTTTTCATAAAAATTGAATATGCTACCTTTTCCACAGGTTATGTGTAGTTTAATAGCCCAAAGAGCATAAATGAATTTCTAATGCTGTAACGTCACGCATTAGTGACAGGCTTCTGAGAGATGGGTTTCTGGGGGAAGGGAGGCTGGTCTACAATCACGCAGTGTAGAATGATACGCTAGTCCCTCTCCAATTTATTTCTCCAGCCCCACAATCTCTCATGAATTCCTGATGTAAAGTCAAACTACCCACATGACATGTCCACTTGGATGTCTACCGATATGTCTAAGGGTCATTTCAAATGTGACATGTCCAAAACCAAAATCGCGATGTTTCTCTTCCCAGATCGGTTCCCTGGCCAGGGTTTGTTATCTCAGTAAATGGCACTTCATTCGCCGAGTTGCTCAGGGCAAAGACCTTGACTCTATTGTTGAGTTCTCTCTTTCTCCCACACCCCAAATGCAACCCACCGATAAATCCTGAACTGACGTTCATTAGATCCGCAGGGATCCAGCCTCTCCAGCTGTCCGAACATGGAAATGCTCCGATGGAGTAGATGCTGCGCCACATACCCAAGTACCTAGGCTCCCCTTCCTGGTTCCCCTGGCCCCTTCTGAGGCGACCCAGGCCTCTGCGCAATGGGCAACTGAAGGCACCGCACGGCTCGTCCCAGACCCTGCTCCAGGCTCAGGTCAGCATCCACTGTGATCAGTTGGTGTCTGAGTATCCATACCTTACCATTATAAATATTTTTAAATCCTATCACCTCAACCAGATGCCAACCACTGACATCTTCCTTTAGCACTAACATCCTACTCCAAGCCACCAGCCACTCTCACCTGGACTATTGCAATAGCCTCCAGACAGGTCTCTCTGTGTCCATTCTTGCTTCCTTCCTGTCACATTCAACTCTCCACAATGTAACCAGAATAATTATAAATATAAATCTACGCTTATCATTTCCCCATTCAAAATCTTTCAATCACTTCCCATCATACTTAAAATAAAATGAAAAATCCTGAACAGTCTACAACCCCTACATGATATGTCTCAGTATACACTTATTGAATGAATGAATGAATGAATGAACATAACCTTAG